ATATATATGTATGTATATTTTTGTAAAATGGGACAAAATTAAAATGAGAGAACGTTGGGTATTATATTTCTCTTGAATAAGTGAACATTAAAAATGTACTGTATTTGTGTTGAATAAGAGAATGTTAAAAATGTATTTTATACTTGTGGAATGGGACAACGTTGAAATAACAGAAGGTTACAGTTCATCAAGATTTGATTATTTTGTTTCACTTCCCTTCCCTTTTTAGCAAGATTTCTCTTGCAGCATTTCCCTTGTGTTCTGGTGATTGATTTTCACAATAGTTTTTGAGGGGGAGGGGGGGGAGAGTGTTGAATGTTTTTGTTTTGTATTGTCGGGTTATTGTTGGGTGTTTTTTTTTGGGGGGGGGGAAGTGGAGCTTGTTTTTGTTTTTTGCACATCTGCGCCAGCGTTATTATAGACACTTTATTTAACAATTAAGTGTTTTATATGATGTGATGTGAGCCAATGGCTCAAAACACTGAAAAAACATACTTAGTTACTTGCAATAGACCAGTTGCCCTCTGAGACTAAATTATCATGCTCACTGAAATTTATTATAAAACAAAACCACCTGTTGAGTGTTGACAGCAGTTTGGACAGATAGGTTATAAAACCTACAGAGTTACACAGTATAAATCTAACTTAACAGGAACACTTACCAGTCCCCCCAACCGTCCTCTGAGACCACAACAGAGGTTCACAGAACGTCAGGAAACAAAAATCCACCCGCTCTTTCCAGCTGGAGGTTTCTGTAAGCACTGTGAAGAATGCGAGGAGACCGGGCGAGCGTGTATTGTCGCACTGCTTCTACCATTGTCTCCGCTCCGTCCCGGCTTTGGTTAGAGAGGAACTTTCCCCCCGATTAAGTCTGAAAGGGTGGTCTGCACTTGAGCGAAGCCCTACCGATTTCTGCAGGATTTGCGGATTGGTTGTGACCTTTCTATCCTGGTTTCGTCGAGTTTATTGAAGCCATAATATTGTTGCTGTAGACACGGTGGAAATTGATCTCCAAAGACCAGTCGTAGGATTCTGTTATTTATGATCTAATTTTCGTCGTCGGTGTTTTCTTTGTTGTTGTTTTCGTTGTTATCACTGTTGTTGTTGTTGTTGTTGTTGTTGTTGTTGTTGTTGTTGTTGTTGTTGTTGTTGTTGATGACGGTCTTCTTCTTCTTTTTTTCTTCTTCTTCTTCTTCTTCTTCTTCTTCTTCTTCTTCTTCTTCTTCTTCTTCTTCTTCTTCTTCTTCTTCTTCTTCT